CCGCTTGGAACATTTGGCATATCATAAGCCATCTGGTTCTTTCCGACCAGATGGGCACAGTTCCCGAATGCAGCCACTGTGCTCCAAAGTGAAGCCTGTGCCGACTGCAAAGAGAGCTGACGAAAGAAGACCCGTCTCCCCACTGGACTCAACTCCGAAGGGCCGCGTCACCTGGAGCCCTGCGAACCAACGACCAGCCTTGCAAAAGCACCGAGAGCTCTACAAAGCGAGCCCAGTCAGCCCAACGTCTTGCTGGTGAGCCAGAGCCCGTTTGGCGGCGAAACCACCACTGAGCAAACATCACCAGGAGCAGGCCGCCTCCAAATGCCAGCGGATGCATGGTCCCATACTCCCACATGGAAACGAAGAGGCAGCAGCCCGAGCAAAGTGGCCAGAGCCGCACAGCGCCGACGCGGCGAAACAAGCCCACGAAAGCGTGCCAACGTGCAGCGGCGGGAGGGAGGGGCAGCACATGGTCCCAAGTACTGTTGACAGCTGGCACTGAAGCTGCGAACTCGCGGGCAATGACGAGAATCTGGTCATACTCATCCGCCGCGTCCCAACCAGCCACCTGCCACACTGGATTGGCCCAACGCGGAGTGAAGTCCATGCGGAGCATGCGGAACTCAAAAACGACGAGGCCGTTGGAGGCGAAAGAGACCACGCCTGCGGCACACCAGTAGTCACCTGAAGCCACCAGGCCAGGGCCTCTGTCTCTGCAGTAACCACTGGAACTTCCACAAGTAGCTCAGCCCCCCGGGCTGCTTGCGGCGCTGAGGCCCTCGCCGGAGTGGCTCAGGCCGCGCGCTTCCGGCACCCCCAGCAGCAGAACCAGCTCGGCTTTCTAAGTGGGCGCGGAGCGAGGGAGACAGTACGGCCGTCCCGTCCAGCCGCCGTCGCGGAGCGCTTGGGCGGACCACTCGAGGCTGAGGCGGAGGCGTCATGACCCGAGAGCGCCGCTTGGCCGAGCCTGGCTGAGCCTGACTCGCTGTAGCTGAAGGCGAGTCCTCGCTGCCGATGCGTCTTCTATCGGCACGACCACCGGCAGGCCCATGCGTGTCACCTGCGAAACATCCCTTAGGGAAGTGCAAAAGCAAACTGCGCACCGCCTCTGAAATCTCAGAGTCCAGAGAGCGACTCCGAAACTCTGCTTCCACTTGCAATGCGGTTGCCACATCGATGTACACAAGAAAGCTTGCCTCACTGTACCAACGGCCTCGCCTCTGCACCACAGTCGGCAACTCGCCCTTAATGATGGCTTCAGTCGCGAAGCCGGCCCTGCACGAGTGAGGAGAGTAATGCACTCCCAGCAAAGCGCTGAGTCGCGACAACACTCTCCGGTAATGATCGTAACCGCAGTTTGCCAAAAAGCCTTGCTCGGGAGTGGCACGCAGCAGTCTGAAAAACATTGCAAGTACTCGGTCCTGATCTGGATCGAAGAATGCGGTCTGCTCGCGGCCCACCTTGGTGCCCACGTTGGTGCCCAACCGCAGGACGTAGCGCTGCACCAATTCGTTGGGACGGAGCAAATCATGTTCCCGAAGCCCCAGCATCTCTGAAGGCCTAAGACCTGCGGCCTGTTGCAATAGCATACACACTGCCAGACGGTACTCCCCCTCATCTGCCATCTTGCAAGCAATAAACTTAGCAGACCGCGACAGCATAGGAAATGCATGCCTAGAGGGAAACTCGATGGCCAATCCCTTGATCACCTTCTTCGTGAGGGGCAGGTTTCCTCTAAGGCAAGGAGCGAAAAACTGGATTCCGGCCAGAGTGATCTCGAGCTTGGATCGCGACAGCGCCGCCTCGCGGCGATACAGCACGAGCCACTCGTCTAGTTCAGCAGCTGAAGAAGGAGCCGCGTCGAAAAGAAGCAAAAAGGTCTCGAACTTCTCAACCGCACTCTGGTAGCGAACGAAGGTGCTGATTGAAACGGTGTTCACATGTAACGGATCGAGCCTGGCAGGCCGGAAGTAGTGCATGCCCGAGCCCTCCCCCGGGCCCTTTCGTGGCAGCTACTTCTACCGGCGTCTTGAGGCCCCATCGGCCGGCATCAAAGCGGATTGACACCATGAAAAGATGAATCGAACACCACATGCAACTCCATAGGCAGCTCTCCTTCGCAGATAAAAGTTCAGCCCCCATGACGAGGACCTACCTTTGGTCATCGCGCTTGCACAGGGGCGGTTGTCTTGTGAAGCAAAGAAAACACGATTGTGAGCAGCGGGGTCCCGACAC